GGGTAACCTTATACAAGGGGGTCATACACTCATTATATAGATATGGGGTTTCTTCCCATAGCCATTCGTTCGTCATACTCATCAATATACACAGAATGACCCCTGCCTGTCTAACTGCTGCTCGATAATTGGTTGATGTTGTGTTCCGGGAGGTACGGGTGGCTGGGTGTGAGCAAGCTCTTGGGACAAATGACAGGAGATTGAGGCCACGGGGAATATCGCCACTCTTTTGCTGTCCGGGGATTGGATGCGCTGGTGAGGATGTTGCTTTGGGGGCCAGGCACCGGGTGCGATGACGACGATGAGTCCGCTGCCTTGGGATGGTGGATGGTGAACCGGGGAGGGTTGGGGAGTTGATGAGAGCGAATCGTTTTGGTGAAGCTTTCTTCTTCAGGGATGAAGAATGGTCTGGGTGTAGGCAGCAGTTGTGACAATCCCTGAATTGTGATTGAGAGTACGATTGCTTGTGCTTGTATGGGCGACCAGTCCCGGGCTAGTAATCTAGAACAAGAAGTACATTGCTATGATGCTATGGTTATAGTAGGAAAGGGGCTCATACTTCAAAGGGTGACTCGTATCTTTAGATTTCACATGCCGCAAGTCTGAAGATGTCAGTGTTCTTCAAATTATCGTGACGAATGTCAGTCCGCCTTGATTTATATGATTCACGCCTCGTGAAAAAGACGTCGATGACATGCCGCGATACTTGGTAGATGGGTCTTGTAGCATGTCCGGCACTCATGATGGAAGATTACACACCCCTCTACATCATCAAGATGTCACATCCGTCGTCTGTCCTATTATGGAACTCCTATTGGAGGATGAAGATCTCTCCATATCGAAGACTCAGGACAGTGTTCACGCACTGGGCGGCCGTGAATCTGCAAGTTGGATATTTGATAGGTCAGGCTTACGAGCTAGACATTCCCAGTCTACCGGGTAGCTGATGGAACGCAACGCGGATGCCTTGAGGCTCAAACCAATGTTGCTGGATGAGTCGTGATACGGATCACGAGCCTGAGGCAGATGACTCCTCGTTTCTCAGGATGTACCGTGAGGGAGGCCTCCAGCGTTCTTGCAGGCTGTGGACAAGTACATCTGGAGTCTTCAGCGTGTTTCAAAGTGTAGCATGTGATTAAGTATGAATAACGCCACGATGTCTCATATTGAAAGATGATGTCTTTCGAATCCAAGATCTCATAGGTTTTGTGAGATGAGTCATGGTGATGCTCGAGTCTAAAAGGCTGTGTCGCTTCGACTACCTCGCATAGGTTGACATCGTGAACGAGACGGCAATGCCTCGATACCTAGGACTTGTATATCTCAACATCTATCACATGGTTTGCGAAATACCCATATTGCGTTTGCCTGATAGCGAGACTCAGCGACTTGCTGCGTTGGCCAGGATGAGGAGTCACAGGACATCACCGCACTTACTCGCATATGTCAATGAAGACCCTACGAGTACCACTCATATCGCCACAATGCTACGAGCTGCACCATATCTTGCGGCGGCGTTTTTCTGCCTGCCTGGTCGCCTCCGCCTCTTGGTCGATTCTCTTCTAAGCTTTGGATGCTGATGCCCGTCGAGAGCTGATAGGCGTACGTACGCGCTGCGAAGCCTTGCTAACTGAATGGAGTCCAGTTTCTTTACGGCAAAGGAAACCTTCCACTTCATGACATGTCGTATTGATACAAGCAGGCTCGGGACGGGCCACAACCGGTGGGCAACCAGTTTGATACCACGATAATCCCCCGGAGATATAGCCACCTATCGGAGAGGAGGAAAGAAGATTTCCGTCTGGAGCTTTTGGCTGCGGTTAAGAATCTGGGGCCTAACTTTCACCGGAAATGCTATTCCCAGAGCAAGAACGAGCTTATGGGCCCCCTAGATGTTTCTCCTCTCCTAGATATCGTTATCCAGTCCTAGATGAGCTACTGTGTTTGAGATATTGGGCAGAGGTCACAAGTAGGTATGTAGGACATGGAAGGAGACTGAGTGAGCCAAAGTCTTTTAAGGCTCGAACGACGTATCAGGATCAGCTGACGTGGAACAAAGATCACTCAAGGAACAAACGATATCTCTAGTTCTCAGAAGTCATACTCATTGTTGTGCAGAAGAGAAGACCAAAGGCGCTCACGGGGAGAAGCACAGGACAGCTCATACCTCCTCCTCCCTTTCCTTCCCCTGTTTTTTTCAGCCTCCGCAAACCCACACATGTTCCCTTTTGTGCTGCTCAACCCCAGAAGCATGCCTGAGAGCCACTACTACTCGAAAGGGTCAAAAAAAGAGGTTCTGTTCCAAAGGTAACCCCCAAAACAGCAAAAGATTGCGTCGAGGGGGAATCGAACCCCCGGCTCCCCGACGCTGCTTGATGGCAACGGAGAATTTTACCACTAAACCATCGACGCTAATGAAAGCCGATGAGCTGTGATGTCCTGGGTGACGAGAATGTGCGTTCAGTAGGGATGTGGTACGGGTGGGTGGATTGTGGTTGGATTCGTGAGGGTTTGGGACCCTGATTTGTGTGGAGCACGCGACGGTGAACAGGGGTTTGGGCCGCTCAAGATGCTCTTGCATGCAAGTCTAATTGCGGCGTCTTGCTCGCTTCCTCAGTCATGTCCGAGGTTGCCTTGTTGTCAAAAATGAAAGATTAGACCTGAGCCTGTAATTATGTCAAGATTTCCAGGCCGCATCCTGCCTCCGTGATCCGTCGGTACTTGTTTCCACTTTTGCCGAAGCATCCAACCCCGATTCCGCGCCTTGACCCTGATACACCAACACAGTTTCGTGCAGCGAATAGTCTACGGAGCGCACTATTCCGTAACGAATTAAACAATGACGACTTAAAGTTTCTAATCTTTGCCACGGTATTTGAGGCAGAAGTTCTGTAAGTTATTAAGCTGAAAGAGGACGCCCTGGGCATTGGCGCTCTGGCCGAAGACTGGAGGTAGAGGCACAGGTCTAGAATTTCTCCGGAATAGCCACTAGTTTTGACAAATTGGCGACGCTACCGTTTCTCAAGTGGAAGTGGGCGGAGGAACTGTAGCTGAGCACTAGGTACGTGTAGACGCACGTTGTGGAATGATCTTGTCACCGTGAATAAATATCTAAAGACCTCAAATGAGACTGTACGTCTCGTGTGACTAACACCCATCTGACCCTCTTAGAGGATCATGAACAATGGCAATACATCAATGTCGAGTTTAGGGTTTCTGAGCCGTCGGAGAGAATAGCACGTCTGTTTTGGCGTCACTTGATCCCTTGAATCTTACTGTAAAGATTGAGGATTGTATTTGAGTGATTCAGAAAGAAAGAAGACTGAGTATGGAATCTCGGAATTGCGAAGACGATAACATACTCCTGGTATCATGTTGAGGTACTGCAAGCTATAGCATGCGTCCTCAGCAATGTCTATGGCCTTAATTCTCTTTTTATTAGGCGATCGTCTACAGGGTGCGTGGACTTTTTTCGGAAAGAAGGTACAATTTGAGCACTGAGCAGCAACAGGAAAACGTTACAATGTCCTCTCTTGGGTGTTTCGTGCTAGCGAGAAGCTTGTGAATTATGATTACGGATGCAGCCTTTCGTCTCAATACATTGCTTATTAAGATATGAAGTGAAGATAAGCCTATGAAAGGGTACTCAAAAGCCCGAGCTAACGATACAAACTAAAAAGGCTCATTGTAACAGAAGGGATGATCCTTCGACCCGCCAAAATTGAATTTGAATTCAAGTCCCTTTCCCTCTTCTTCCAAGTCGAACCCCACACAGGGATACACTTTTCCAAACCTAAGACTGTCGGTGGCTTTCGAGAAGGCATCTCCTAAAGTTCGATCAATACCATGTGAATCAAGCTGTGGATCTTGATACTTGAAATCTACCCATTTCCCATCTTTTACCGTTGCGTGTACAGAATCCTTGTCCAGTACTTGAGTACAAACAAATGCCCACGACATCAGGGTATCCGAAAGTCCCGGCGCCTCCGAAGTCTGGGCTTGGAATAGGACCATAGCCATTGTCAACAAATAGCTCCCCATCATCACTGTAATACGCCCACGATCCTTTGAACCAACCTAGCATTGTGTAGTAGATGTTGTTTGGAAGACTCGGGTCACAGAACCCGATTCCCAATATCCTGCAATGACTTATCAATTTTCGGCGCTCAGAGGTAAGATGATAGAGTCGGAAGCAATTTACCGAGAATTGGAGTTACGAAGGACTTCGACCTCGAATTGAAATATTCTCTCGATGGAGGGATACTGTGGTTGGCGCGTATACATCCTCTTAGGAGGTTCGGCGATTGCCTGACGACCTTCATCACTGTTGGAATTAGATATTCATTCATATCATTTGAATGTGTGAACCATTGCATAGTGATGACATACCGTGGGCGGTTGGGTATTTATCATGGCCATCGACGGGTTCGGAAGTGACTTGGAGGCTTTCCTTGTACTGGTCCCAAATTAGGGTGGCGGGACTCCTATAGTCGGGTGTCTTATCGATTTCCCCAGGTTTCGAGTGGTTGTAGAGGCTTCTGAAGGTTTCCTCGAGGCAGAAACGTTTCAGGTAGTCCATAGAGGACCAACTGTCTTCGTCAAGGCCATTTTGATCAACACTGTGATCTATCAAGATCTGCACAAGCTTCTTATCGCGAAGTAAGATTGCTACGTGGTAAGAGGTCTTCGACTTTACCCATGTCTCCTGCCTTCGATCGCCCGCGAACTTGTCGAATGCCTTTTGAGCGCTGGCTGGAAGCTCTTGGACAGAAAGCTCATGAAGGAATGAGAGAATTAAAGTGGTCTCTAGCAGAGCTTGCAACATGTTCCCAATCAAACCGTGGAACTGAGAGGATTGGGAGAAGGTGAACTCCTTCAGGCGGTGGAGTCTCTGGGAGTCTGATGTCTGTGCATGCAGGAGAAGCAACCGAGCAGCTTCTACTCTCCCATCAAACAGTGCTCTGTCAAGTCGGGTCTCGCCTCATAGACTTTCTTGATGAATTTTAGCAGATGGTTTCTTCAGTAAGAGAGTTAAGGCTTGTGAGTCTTCTACATCAGCCGCAAAGTGTATTGGAGTATACCCTCTCCACCCTGGAGCGGCCTGATTCACGTCATCTACTTCAGGGCCCTGATGTTGAAGTAGTTGTTTGACAATATCGTGATGCTCACTCTCACAAGCCCATGAAATAGGCGGCTGTTGATAGCTAGAGTCCTCGGCATTTATGGTCTTGGGCCATTGCTTCAGGATACCTGGGACAATTTCTGAAAATCCCTGTTTCCAAGCTGTGACCAGCAAGGACTCATGGCTATAGTCGAAAGCATTCTCTTGCACCTGGCCAGGGCTGCCGGCGCTCAAGAGATAGAGCGCAACATCTTGGTCCTTGCGCTCAATCGCCCTGTGTAGGGCTGTCCTTCCTTCCGAATCTGTTGCCAGCAGATTGCAATGTTCTGATACAAGCAGCTGAGCCATCTTTCTGCCACGAGCGTAATGAATTGTACAGCTGTTGTTTAAGTCAGTGCCGACTAAAGGGACCGCTCTGGACCCTTTAAGCAGTGTTTTGGCGACCTCTTTGAGGCTTTTTTTTCCAGCGGCGAACATGAGTGTCGTGATGCCGCGAGAGTCCTTTGCTAATGAATCTGCTCTCATTCATGCAGAAAGAATTTGAACACCTCAGTACGGCCGCCGATAATCGCATAGCGTAAAGGCGTGCACCCATTCTTGTCTTGGGCTTCGATGTTAAAGCCTTTCCCCTCTGGACTACGGATGCTATCGTCGTTTGCAACCTCAATTGCAATATGAAGGAATGATTTTCCACTGCTGTACCGGCAGCTTGGATCCATCGCAAACTTCAAAAGTGCGTTGAAGCAGGGATTGAACATGCTCTCAGAAACATTGGGAGAGCCAGTGACTGAGGAATCGGTGTTTTGCTGCGTCTGAGAGACGCTATCGTCTCTTTGTCTTGTTGCATTTTCCACAAGGTAGTCAACAAATAATCTTCCAGCCTCGTCGAGCTCATTTGAACGCGATCCCATATGCAGAAGCTGGGTGATCAACTTCGTATGTCCTAGCCTGGAGGCGATGTGAAGTGGTTGGCGGCCCCAAGAGTCCTTCTTCTCAAGAGATTGTTTTCCGCCGTGTTCTTTCAAGAAGTCAAGGGACCCCAAGTTTCCAATTTTCGAGACCAGATTGAGAGGAGTCAGGTCGTCAAGTCCACCGGCTTGAATTACGCTCTTACGCGCTTCGCCACTCAACTCACTCAACATAGATGCGAGGCTTTTAGATTTCCCAAACAAGGCAGCGATATGGATCGGACTCCGGCCTAGGCTGTCCAGTAACTTAGGCAAGCGGTCGGTCCAGACTGACGGTTGGGTGAACCATGAAAATGTTGAATTCAGGGTCATCAGCGAGATATCCATAATGATACGGAGTCCAACCAAAAATATCGCCGACTCTTGAAACCTCTTCTGATGCGTTACACATCGAGTTAGTAAAGCTCGATCGTCTTTGAAGGGTTGCAAAACTTTAAAAAAAGACTTTACAGATCATCCTGACTCAGTTGGTGTGAAGTTTGATACACAGACTATCGTGTTTTTAGCCAAACGCAATCGTTTTGGGAGTTGCAGGATTCTGTGTCACTTACATCAACACCCGCCGCGATCATCGCCAGGTGATGCCGCGTGAGGCCAAGAGTGTTCTTTGCGAAGATTTTGTCTAATTCATTGGACTCGCTTACTTCTCGAGAATTCTGGAAAATATTTCGTGACGGTCTTGGCAGCGGTAAACAGGTCGAGCTTTGCCATGATGCCGGCGAACTTGGGGGATTCGAGATGTCTTTCAATAGCTTCCAGCTCTCGACACAAGTCCGAAGGAGGCGTCATCTGTTCATGATACGGCTCATGAGCGGAGGACAAGAAGTCGACTGTAGCCACAGCAATGGCAACGTTCAACTTGTCATCTTCGTTGAGCTTCTCGCCCTTTGTCTTAATCGTTTCAACGAGCTTCTTGTGACAGGTCGCTGTTTTTACCCATCCACGCCCAGGGCCAACACGAGGCATCAATCTGGGAATGCCCTGGTCAGGCAAGAGATTCCTAGAACTGAGTGCCGGGATCATGCAAAGAAGGATGTCAGTTATGCTCCCTAGGCCGTATGATTTCATGCTTCGAATGACTTTGGTAAGTTCACGGTGGCGAAGTTGGGATCGGAGCCATGTCTTAGCAAAGTCGATCGAGTCGAAAGTCTGTGGGCCTTCTATCTCTAGCTCTTGTTTGACTCCATCGGGACCTGAATCCAGACAGTCTCTTGGAAGGAACTCCGAAATATTCCACATGAAACTGGTGAAAAGGTGTTGGGCCGAGATGGCCGAGAGGGACGCCTTCGACGTAATCCTCAGCTCTCTGGCAGCTGTTTTGTCTGCGTCACTGTCAATCAGGCTGTATAAATAAGCATCAACTTTAAACATGCAACACACCTTTGGGCGACTCAAAGCCGTTAATACAATCACTATTTCAACATTTGCACCCCTTCCTTGGCTTTTCTTTCGCGTTGGTTCATCGCTCTTGGGAAGTATTTCCCTGTCATTGCTTTTTCCGTCTTCACTTTCTTCGTCTTCACATTCTTCACCACCACTTTCTTCGTCATCGCTTTTGTAGTTGTCTCTTTGGTCGTCTTAAGTCGTAGTATCGCTCTATTCAGCGACAAGGCTGTCGACCCACCAAGAGACATCTCGTTTCAGGACGTCATTCAGCTCTGTCTCGAACAGTATCTTTATTGATTTCAACGTTGCTGTTATCAGTGAGCTATTGTCAAGCCTTACTTTTGGTGATTCGCAGACAAAGGTCACCTGCAGGTCTCTTACTGTATCCCGGCAATATTTGCAGCTGCGCAGATTGACCTATCCCAATTATGTGCTGGTCATTCAACAATCAGAATCCACCGTTACGCCTTTCCATACGGTATCCCAGAGTACTATTCCACGCAGCTTGCACAAAAAATGGCTTTAGAAGGCTTGTTCACCCAGTCCAAAAATGCGCGGACGATGACGCGTGATTGCAAGGCGTTTGTCTGAATATTGTCAGGGCCCAAAAGTGGGTGGGCTGACTTACATTGAATCTCGGATCTGCATGTTGCCCAAGGCTTCTTTCGAGGGAACTCTGGTCTCAACACATGGTAATGGGCTTGCGTGCACCTACATCGATGGCCATGAGGATCCTCGGGACCTCAGCCCATAACAGGCTGACCTATGTATCACAGCGACTGAAAAACACAGCCATTGTCTAGCAGCTGCTCGGTCATTACTGAGGCAAGATGGGTGTGTTGGTCTAGGATGAGGCTGGGGGACCTAGAGCAAACTGCCCGCGAGGCTAACTATCAAAAGCTGTCACGAGTTATGGCACGCAGTACTGAGCATATGGAGCAGGAAGGTATCAAGAATATTGGACTCAGGTGCGTGGAGACATGACGAAGAAAATGCAACGTAGGCCGTGACCTTTCTGGTGTTGAGCACAGCGGCGGTATCCTGTCTTGAATCGCGGCCGCATTGTCTAACAATCGAAGACTGGCAACAATGACAAGGTCCTCTGGGATTTGTACCTTCTGGAACGCAACTGGGAGGTCGCGTTGCGATTATTATCTTTTGTTCGGTGCCGATAATACTGAGAGTAATGATACCTGACGTAGGAGTATGGAACCTGATTTGGCAGTGATGGATTGATTCATTGACAGGTTACAACAACAACGACTGCGGCAGCTATGGTCTCCAGCACATCGGCGGTGAGCATTCAATGCATCGAATAATATATCGATTGCAAGAAAATCCTTTGAGCCTATCTCAAGATCATTCTGCGAATCTGCAGCAACATCGGACTTGGTTGCACGGCCCTTTTTTGGAGACCAAACGCCTAGCGATGTCGCCTGTTCTTAAAGCACGAGTAGCATTACAGGAGTGGGACTACTGTGGTGGAAATTAACCTCAGCGGCCGCAGTTAGACACTGTCGTGATACAGATTACGGTGAAGTATGCCACTGAGAGGCAGACCATGGCGACCAGTTGCGCTGCTCCCTTCCTGGTTGATCAAAGAACCAGAGCGACTGATAGCCAGTAGGGGTTCTGAGCTACACTCATGACTAGAGATACATGGTCAAACCCAAGCATCCTAGCATGGAGGCATTGGAACGCTGAGTCTCAATCAAGTCTGAACAAGAAAATTAATGGCATCATTAACAAAGAATTAAGTATTATTGATCTTGAAAAGCCCTTCGGCCCCTTTCTCTTTGCAACATTCCTCCACACGTCCGCCACTTACTGCGGTCAGTTGAAGCTGCAAGGAACTTGGATGACCCAGTCGGGGTAGATCAGATCCTTGTTCTTGATCAGGCCCGAGTTCTTCTGCTGCAGCACATCCGCAGTCGTACAGAAGTCATAGGCGATCTTGTTAAGGGTGTCGCCGGACACGACCACGTAAGCGCCATCATACGCCGAATTCTTGGCGCAGTCTCGCTGTTTGCCGGCGTTCCAGTGGCACGGCACCTTTAGGTTCATACCAGTCTTGATGTTCTGGATGTTGTTCCACTCCTTGATGACCTGAGGTGACGTGCAGAAGTCGGCGGCGAGAATGTCGAGTGTATCGGATGAAGTTGTGTAATACCAGCCTTCCGAGGCCTTGGTGTGCTTGCAGGAGCGACGGAGGGCGGCGGTAGAGCCCAAAGTAGCCGCCATGACCAGGAGGAAATCAGAGCGCATCTTGAAATGATGTGATGGGCTTAATTTGTTTCGGGGAATAAATGTTGGCAGTTGGTTCTGGAGGATGGGTAGATGCGGAAAAAGAGATTCAACGAGAGCGCCGCAAAGTGGGCATTTATAAAGCCGCTGCTGAAAATGTGCAACAACGCATCTTACGCTCATTTAGTATCTGACACGACGCCTCATCAAATGGTATCGTGAAGCCAAAAGCTTGTTGTCGGAAAGCCTTAATGTTCACCTTCAAAATCGCAACATGATACGACGAACTAGCCGCACGGGCCGTGAATTGCTCCGCCTTCTGGAATACTACTTTATTTAACTTCACGACGGCCCCATCGTTCATCTCCCGCCCTCGGGTTCACCGTCCACTCTGGCTGTCTACATCTTCTTGTTTCGCCTTATTTGTCTGAAAGTGACAAGTCTTATTATCGACAGGCTCAAAAAGCTGAATGCACAAGATAGTCCCCGGCCGCGGGAACGTAGTGGCTCAGATGTTCTTGAGTGTGCGACATTCTGAGGCATATGGCTGTGACTTGTCGAGACTAGAATCGCAGTTTAGACTCAAGTCAGCTATGCAATGCACCGGAGGGTAAAGTGTGAAGACTTGAAGGTATGGGTACTCTCCGGCTTTTGCGATGCCGAAGGTAGTCGGCTGACTCGCTAAGCGTGGCACGAGCCGCGATAGTGGAGTTGTAATATAACAAGTATTCGATGGTCTATCAAATACGAAGGTCTTTTGGACGAGTACGGCTATTCCGCACCCACACGAAGGCTATCCCGCACCCATACTAGGCCATATTTAATAAAAACTAGGGTAACACAGCCTCAATATACATTTTAGTAGCGACACTACTATAGAAATCACTACGTTAATGATTACGAGTTTATAACTACTTAATATATAATTATCTACCGAATTAACTATTATAATACTAGAATTGCTACTATTGCCTACCCGGGCTCGGGCTAGGCTAATTCTACTAGCTACCCCCTACTAACTACCCCCCTACTACCTACTATACCGTTAGCCTAATTACCCTAATTATAGCTACGGTAGAAGTATTAACAAGGCTACGAAGTAATAATACTACTACTAATTTAATAAAAAGGGTACGTCATAAGGGCAATAAGATTACTAAAAAGAGTACTACGGTAGTAATTAAGGCTACTAAAGTCTTACTATTTTAGTAGTTAACTTACTAAGCTATGAGTTAAATTAAGTATTAATAATAAAAGTAATAGTATTTCATAATATACTAGCTAACTACTCGTTAATAGCCTCAGTAGCGGTCTTCTACTTTTTCCGTAACTATATAAAAGCTAATATAGGGGTAAGAGTAGTACTTTAATAACGTAATAATAGGTCGTACTCAAAAGCAGAGGGCTCTCTTAAAATAGAATTATTACGTAAACTAAGGGTAATATTCTAACCCTAAAAGGGTGTAGTAAGCCTATTATAGAGAGTATTGTTATTAGTAATAATCGGGGTAGATTATTAATAATTAATACGTAACCTAATCATTTCTAAGTTAGCTTTACGGGTTACTTTATAAAGAGCAATAATTATAAGCTAAAATAGGGTAAAAAAGGTTAATTAACGTTTTTTTAGTAAAAGGATTAATACTAACGTATTAGATCCTAATCTAATTACTAATAGTAGTTAACGTCGTCTCTCGTAAATAACCGAGCTAGGTTACCTAACTTTAAATAATTAAAGAGGTCGTAGTAGTACGGTAGGCCCTATTAGCTTAAGAAAGTACTGGTATAGGGAGGCAGGCGCTTCGTATAAGACTAATTATAAAAGACCTTATTAGTAGTACGTAATTAATACTAAATTTAATTAAATACTTAAAAAGAGATTATTAACAAAAGATTCCTTATTATAAGTATATTACTATAGCCTACTTTAATATAATATTTTTATTTACCTACTTCCTCTTCGAATCGTACTTCTTTTATATAAACTATTTTAATAATAATAAATTAAAAACCGTAAAAGTTAAAAAGCTAATTACGTAAATACGACTTTAACTCGTAATAAGTAAACTCTATATATAACGTAACTTTAAAACTATAATTCTATAAGTAACTAACGTAATAAGTACAAAATTACTTACAAAAGGGTAAATAAACAGCTTCGAAATATAAAACTATTCGTAACTACGTAAAATTAAAAATTTTATAAAATATAGCCTAGTAATAATTAAAATCTTCTTTAATCCTAGTATAAACGCACGCGCGCCAAGCCTTAAGAATTCTATTAGGCGTTTATTTATACGAATTTAATAGTAAAATTAGTATAATTAAAAGCTATAGAAGCGGTAGAATTAGTAAATTAATTAAAAGTAAATAATCGTTATTAACGGGCTACGTTAGTTAAAGTAATTCGTAAGTTAAAAGTTAACCTAGCGGGCTAGCTATAAGATCCTTACTTTTTATAATCTCCGCCCGGTTAATTAACTCCTAAAGATTTATTAAATCTACGCTAATAAAATTAAGCTAACCGGAGCTCTCTAATTACTTTAATATCCTACTTTAAAAAATAATTTTAGTACTAGGTAATAGATTTTTTAGTACTAATACGCGAGGCTAAAAAGCAGCCTTATAAAAATTCTAAGTAGCTACGGATTCCTCTTTAAACATACTATCCTACTTCTATTTAATATTTAATACTATATTTTTAAAAATATACTAGAAGTAGATTTATTATAATATATCTAGAAATACTACCCTTATTACCTTTTTTAGCGTATTATCAAAGTCCGTAATAATTACTTTTAGCTATAAAATTTCTCTTTTTTTATATACTAATTTTAACTAGCTCAGTACCTATTTAAAAGTTTTTATATCTTTACTCGATATAAAATAAAAGGCCGTATTAAATATAATATAAACAAAAGTCGTACCGTTAACTTAAAAAAGCGGCATATTAAAGCAGTTAACCTACTCTCTTAATAAGTCTTAATAACTTCTAACTATATAATTACTAACCTTATAAGTATTATCTATCATAAGTAATTTAGGGTTCCTTTTCTACATCTTAAAGTACTACATATACGTCTAAAATATACTATCGATCCTACTTATTATAGGGCTACGGTAAATTATTAAAAATACTATATTATTATTATCGTTAAGTACTTATAAAAAGATCTATATTAAGGAGAGCGGGCCGTACTTATCCCGTTATAGCTTTTACTAAGTATTTTTAACGTCGCGCTATTTAATAAGTATACCTATAGAATTATAGATTTAAATAGTAATATAAGTAGAGGTAAGTCTTCTAGTTATTAATAATAACTCTACTATAACCCTAACCGTCTTTTTACTAAGTTCTTACTAACTTAGTTTATAAAAGACCTAGCTCGATAAGTATAATTCTATTATTAATAATTCGTAATTATACTTACTATATATTATACTTACCCTATACCTATCTTATAGGTTAGGGTATTAGTATATACGAGCCTTCTATGGGTAGCCCGTTTTTAATATTATCGTTTACTACTACTTAGCTACTAACTACCGCGGCTGACTACTACGCTTATATACAAAATCTAAGTAGAATAGGGAGCCGTTTTATTACTTCTTTAACTTTAGCTTATTTACCTTATAACCGAGGTCTCGTTAATATAGCTAAACCCTTATGAAGAAGTCGTCGATCGAATTATTTATTAAATCTATTAAAAGAAGTTTAAAGAAAATATAAAAAGGTAGGAATTAGGTAGTTAAATTAATATAAAAATATCCTAATATAGTTAATAAAAAAGCACTATAATAATTATATAATCGCGTTACCTAGGCTAATATATAAGTAACCTAGCCGCTAGAATTAGCCAGAGCCACTTAGTGTAGCTACTACCTAATTCTACCTACTATTTCCCCGAGCGGGCCTAGTATAGGTGCGGGATAGCCTTCGTATGGGTGCGGAATAGCCGTACTCCTTTTGGACAAACCGAACGCCAAGTCGGCTGGAAAGCCCCAAGCATCTGCAGCTGCTGTGCCTTGCAAGATGTTCGTAGTAAGGTAATTGTTTTTGTGTCTCGATTCCTGATTCAAGCGCCATAGCCTATGGCAATTTGATCAAACCCGTGACACGGCTATAGCCGGGCCGTTGTCAAACGGAAGGGAATTGCCGTCAGGCTACGATAGTTGGGCACCCACTGCTATATCTTTGAACGATGGCTCTGATTGGCTGTCCTTGAAGAAGGCCCGGTTGGCCGTAATGGCCCCAGCTGAACGCCTCGCTGGACAGGTGCGACCACATTCGGAATTCATGCTGGCTAATGGGTGCTCAGTAGTCTGAAATTGAGCATGAAGAATAAATGATGCAGATCAAGTATCAAGTCTTCCATTCTTAGTGGTCAGGCTCAAAATCTCATCTTTCATCCACCAAAGCCTGAAGAGGCCCTCAGATACCAAGCACCTATAGTGATACCTCCGGAGTTCTTTCTGATGTAGGCCTTTGTGCTGCCCAGGGAGCCGTAAGTCTACATAGACGGTTCTTCACAAAGCGAAAGTTTTGCTCTCAAATAGACGGGACTGTTCTTATTAATGCCACTAATGTCTACCTTATCTCTAACGAGTAAGAGATGGAACGGGGTTGCGCTTATCGATTCTCAACTGCCATCTCGCACATCATTGACTTAATTTCTATCTTTTGTCGAACAAGTTCCAACAAGATGAGATGTAATGACGGAATCTGGTGATGAACTTCGCGAGTCATCAGGACCAGCCTCATCGATAATGCCTCGTGTCAACAGAGGCGGCCAGTCAGTACCTGGCCAACTATGTGACTGCATATTTGAAGTGCTTTTCTCATTTGGTTGGCAGCAGACCACGTATCAGCATTTATATGCAACATTGCATCTTTCGGGTTTATTGGACCATATTATCTATCCTTTCCCAGGGCATGCAAAGAGCCATTGAGTACCACTTTCTCTCACCGAAGCCACATTACACCAGACCAGCCAAAGCCGGTTCTACTCGAGCCACATCATCCCTTGGTCTCAGTATTTCACATAACGTGATGATTGGTGTTGTAGATCTGAGTATGTCATTCGTACTCGCCTGTATCTTAGGTGCCTGACAGCGCGCGTTACGTGTCACTTGGCGCAGAACATACTTTGCGGAAGTAACCCAAATTTTGAGAGGCTCATCATATATGTCGACAAAAACCATATAGATCCTTCCTCCCCACTAGATCGGTAGCACGACACTCGCTTCAAGAGCTGCATCCTAGAGTTGTGCTTTGAGAAAGTGTGAGCATCCCGACAACCGTTCCCTATTTGCCTTCGACGCACGGCCAATCCGCCGGCCATGTCGACATATGAATACAAAGCACTACCGGATCCAAGAAAGTGCATGAGACTGCTGAAGCTTTTACCAACTTCTGATGTGAAACCGACCAAGCTTTGCGCCGAAGTGATTGTCTGTCTGCGCGAAGAAGCACCATCATACCAGCCCTTGTCCTACACCTGGGGTCAGCAAGACGCGTCATGCTCAATCTGGCTTAGAGATGCCGGACATTCTGCATGGAAACTGTTGGTATCCCTATCACAGGGATATTGGTCGATTGGTTCGAACCGTGGTTTTGACGAAGAAGGTCAATTGACTATATATTCTGCTGCGTAGTAGGTGTAGAAGGGAGGTTCCAACCGTAGGTTGGGCAGGCTGCGATAATCAGAAGTAGGGCCCGTAATTGGCCCCTGCGCGGGCTGCCGTGCGTAGGTCGAATTGGACTTCCAATCCGACAGAAACCTTTCTCCATAAGACCGAATCTCGAGTCGTGCCTCAAGCAGCTTCGGAACAGGGAAGCTCGCATATTATGGATTGATGCGATCTGCATCGACCAAACGGACAACGTCGAGAAGGCCATCAGGTCGCGACCATGGATCTGGTTTATCAATCGTAAAGCATCGTCATATGGTTGGGGGAGTGGTCAGAGAATAGCGATGTCGCCCTTGATCTTCTACAGTCATTTCGAGACTGCCTGGTCGAAAACGGGCACGAAGAGTTCGCTTGGTCGAGCCGGTTGTCCGACCAAGTCGCAAAAGCAGGGGAGCGCTTTGGGGAAAACCAAGCAGATGAGCAATGAGCAGCATTCGTTGATCTGATCAACAGGCCTTGGTTCTCGCGGCGTTGGACGGTTCAAGAGGCTGTTTTATCTAACCAGAAATACGCTCACTTGGGTAGCCGGACCTTTTGTTTGGGCTATCTCGTGTGGCTCTGTGGGTTTGGGTCTCTTCAGCTGAAATTCTACCACTTACATAAAGAGCCATTAGAGTATAGCGAATGCCGAAGAGTTTGTGTAGACCATGGTTACACTCATAAGAACCCAACACCGGTGGTGGATCCCATCGACACTATATTACGAGTCTGGCGGGCGTATAGTGCATTTACGAGAGGAGACAAACCATCTCTCACTTTGGAAAGGCTATTAGACAACTTTCAGGACTCGAGTCTTTTGATGCCCGAGACGGTATTTATGCCTTCTTGTCAATGGCAAGTGACATTGACACGGAGGAATGATTTCCATACTACTCAGACCAAGCTACAACTACGGAGATCTTTGCCAAAGCTACATTGCATATCATACAACAGACTGGAAGTCTAGATATCATCTGTAGACGCATACACGACAGGTCCTTCTCTCTCTCTGTCAGCCACCCTTCCTCCTGGATCCCGTGGTATGGCCTTCAGACCATCGACTTTATGCCCGAACATTCACATTGGTTTCATTGATACAATACAAGGTCCCTAACGACATTTGGGCAGCCCATATCCACACTGTGGATCGGCCAAGAAGGTTGTCGTACAAAGCCCTGCCCGACAGGCAGTATTGCTCGATGGAGAGAGATGATCTTCTGCGACGGATGCCACAGCAAAATACAAGGCACAGGGTACGAGTGCGTCGACTGCGAGAAACTCGATTTCTGCTACAAATGTATTGGCACGGGCGGCATCGTGGCACCTCATCACAGCCCGACTCATCGATTCAAGGCACACAACAACGCGGTCTACTTCGCCTCCGGCCATTTCGCTGCCCTCGCGCAGAGATACTCTTCTTCTCAAGAAAATCTTCGTAACGCCTGCTCAAATTCAAAGAATCATCTGCAACTCGTGGTCCGAGGCTTCTTCGTGGACACAATAACGAACATCGGCCTTGGAGGCGTTGTTCAGCGCCATGTCAACGGTATTAGGGTCGAATCGCCTTGGGAGAATTGGATTCGGTTGCTAGGATTGGATGAGATTGATGGCCTCGGTAATGAAAGAAATCTGAATGTGGCATTCCTTAGAGCGCTGGTGGGAATTAGGCTGTTGCTAGAGGGGGAAAGAGGCACCTCCCACTTGCTCAGTGAGTTCGTGAAGATATTACACGTGAATTTCAGCGATGGCAAGTGGACGTGCGGTATGGAGCACACACTCAACTTCTGTCTTCAATGGAGGTCATGGTATCTATGATCGAAGACTGGCAACTTCAACGAAGCATCTGGGTTTCGTGCCCACGGAAACTAGGAAAGGAGATCCCGTAGCTATTTTACTTGGTTGTTCAGTGCCGGTTATACTAAGGGAAGTAGGATTCTTTCGCGGAAAGCCCGCGTGAGCACTGGTCGGGGAGTGCTATGTTGATGGGATGATGGAAGGGGAGTTCATCGAAGTTGCAGACAAAGTGGGGCTTGAACCAGAGGAAATTGTCCTCGTGTAGCGGGAAATCTAGGACATTTGTTAAGGTGACGTTGAGATCTTGCTCTAGACGCTATCAGGTCCCTGGGGAATCAGCAACTCCTTTCAACTCACCTCAGACCTGGATCAAGCATCAGATGGAAAAACTTTTGCCTATGATAAGCAGTCGGATATTGCCACGTAACTAATATGAAGAAATTCGGCTCCCCAGCACTCTGTCACTGGCATGCGCCGATCTCCCCCTGTCGTTCAAAGCTCCCTGGTTCGAAGTGTAGTAGGTCTGGTCCCCGCTGAACAAGGTGTGGTGGAATTGAGAGGGACCACTCTTGGACGCCCAATGAGAGAGAAATTGACAGGGTAGTTTTAGGCTTGGCCGTTCCCTATGATGCTGTGTGCCCCTTGTCTCGGTGATATTTCTCGAAGTTGAAGGCAAGACCGAAGGCTGGCTTAGTGCAAGACGCCCGGCCTTGGTAGACGATTGGGAGCTGATTCTTCGGTTACGACTCGTCTGCTGAAAGAGTTGTAGCGTCAGCAAGAACAATCAGCCTGTCGTTGGAATCATGTAGCAAGACCGAAGCCTTTCGTAGATCATCATAGTTTGTACTCAGTCTGCAAGCCTCAAAGGTGCTGCAAGGCAAGCCGTGGAGATTCAAGAGATGTTGCTGCAGTATCGCAGCTCGTGAGTAGCGGCAATCCCATTCGACTTGTACGAATCCCGTTGCAAACACGGAAAATAGCGGCCGGAGATTCGTTTCAGTTGAATGGGAAGCTCAGGTATGTGTTGCGCTCCTCGGGCGATGCTTCGATGCTAGCTGACCAGTATGGAAAGGGGAGGTGAAAGAGGTGGTGTGAATGGTGTGGCATGGCATGGCGTGTTCGGTGGGCGTAAGTCAGCAGGCCGGGTGCTACCTGGGACGGCCTGCGGGTGTGCTAGAAGGTGTTATGGGTGCGGGGGGATTCAGCCTCTCTCGTACCCTGACGACGTGGCTGGCGTGCCGAGACAACGACACCTCCTAGAGAAGGCTCAATCAGCAGCCCTCCAAGACCAGGTAGGCGGCACAGCCTCTCGATTCAAGAAGGTCGGAAGGGTCCAGACGGCCGATGGAATATGTCGAATTGAAGCTAAGAGATAGGCGAAGTGTTCGCCATGGATTTTTGACAGGAGCTGCTGGCCCGAGCCTGTAAACGAGGCCCACAAACCATAGGTAATAGTGATTTTGGGAGGTTGTGTGGTGTGATGGTCGGCCCAACCTAGATTTTGGTGCTGTCTGTGCTCTTGGAGCGATCCGAAATGGTCTCTTGGGCCCGTGTCTTTGGCAGGCGCAAAGGCCAGTGGAAGGCGTCCAAAAGGATGGCACTGGGGGCTTATCTGGCCGTGGCGAAGGTGCCAACACCGATATTGCAACTTGGCAGGTGCTTGGTACCAGTCGTGAAGCGTTGATAGAAGCTGCCAAAAATTGCCAACCTATTGGCGATGGTTGGCATTCCTCGGCTGGCGAGTGAGACGGCGCATATTTGTGGGTTGTGCATCGTTTGTCTCTGGGCGACCGGGGGAAACGAGAAGGCCGGCGGCGCTGTTTGGGGAAAGCCATGGTAGTCTCGGGGAAGTATCGGTCGTGTACCTTCTCGGAAGAGTTGTTCGTTCATTTCAAATTGCGAATACGTAATCGCGTGTGTGATTCAGCGTTGCCATCTCCAACGCTGACTGGCCTGGAGGAGATGTTCTTGGTTCGGCCAAGAGCTCGGCAGGCGTCCCAAGTCTGCAACCGCAAATGGAAGGCGCTCGCGGAGAAGAGAAGCTTGGGAAAGCAGGAATGGCATTTAATCATAGGCCCAGAGTGTCAAGCGATTGATGTAGCGATGGTGCGTTGCTTCATCATCTTGATGGTCTTCTTGTGGCGTGCGCGTGCTCCATGTTCAGTATGGAAGAAAGTGAGCTGTTGACGATGATATGCTATTGTCGATCATTGATGGTGCCATGGGCGGCGGTTCAGCGCAAGGACGGCCGGCAGTTGCTTGGCGAGAGACGCGCTTGTCAGACGGGAGTCATGCCGGGGGGAAGGATGGTGGCTGCAGTTGTCCTAAGGTAGGCTTGACTTTGGTCGAATGTTGAAAGGTATGAGAGCGGCACAGTCGATAGAAAACAATTTCTTCGTTCTTCGCAGACCATGCGTGCCTCTCACTGTCCCAAAGGAGGTCATGAGTGAAAGGCAGGTGCGTCTGGGGATCCTCCGTTCCCTCCGTTCCCTTCCCTCCCCTCTTACTCCTTCCAGGCCACAACCACCCGCTGATTCCTCCTTCCTCCACGTCCGCCGGCTGCCTTACCTAATCACGCAGGTACTCAGGTACTTCCGAAGGGCCCACACCTCTCCGCCAAGGTCGATGCCCCCCGCCGCCCCTAGAAGGCGCGGAACGACCTTCCATGCAGCTGCCCGGGCGGGCTCCGCTGATAATGGCAGGCTTTAAAGCTACGACTCCGGTACGCAAAGGTACCTCATGATGCTCTCTTCCCCTCCCATGACAGAAACACACCATGTTCACCCGACGTCCTCCTTGTTTTCATCTCTTCTCTTCCACGTCAACCTCCAACGTTCACGCCCACCACCATCCAATGCTGGTTCTAGTCTCCCTTTCTCAAGCCCAACTTGCCAGCACCCAAGGCTCTAATCGATTAACCCGCAATTTGTCAATCATAAGCTTCCCTAGAAACTCGACTTTCACCTTCTCTTCTCGTCTAGCACCCCGTCAGCTTAACTCCACTTCCCCAACACTTGGCCTTCCTCTGGCCCTTGGCAGACACCCATCTTAATCTCTCTGGGTTATCCATCCATCCTGCGAGCACTGTCACTCGCCGAGTAGCACCCTCGACCTACGCATACGTTGCTCTGATCCCGCCCGCATACCTTCGCCGCAGATAGCCATGTCCAGAAGTAGTTTCCCGGCGCGACAAGGCAACACCGAATGGGATGCGGGCATGCTGGGTTGCTGATAGGATGGGCGACGAGGTCGAGGTGGTATCCTTGATCGGCCGCGTCTTCTTCTTAAAACATCGCGTCCCCCTCTCGACCGCAAATGATTTCTCCTCTCCTTGTGATTCACCATAATCTACTATTTCAGAACTGCCTGATCCCTTCCTTGCACTTGATGCCCTTGGGCCTCCGACCCCGTTGTCCGATTCACCTCAGCCTTTTGTTTCGCAAAAGGTTCCAAGCCCTACCAGTAACATTCTTTGCCCGAGGATTGCGTCAAAGGACAAGGCAAACACTTGGCCGAAATGGCGACCGAAAAGGATGTCCATGATGGCGTCTCGACCCCCGAAACTACCCAAGTTCAACCCGAAAGTCGTACCGAGGGCGTCCAGGGTAAGCCTGGAAACGCCATCGGCGAGGGCCATCTCAGCCATGGAGGCGCGAAGCGCGACGACGACTTCTACACTCGAAATGGACTCAACTTCGAGTCCTTCAAGCGCCGAGATTATGGACATGGCATCGTTGAACTTGACCGTACCATGAAGACTCGTCACTTGCACATGATTGCTATTGGTATGGAAGCTATATGTAGCTACTATGTATATCTTTACTAACCTAGTCGTCCGCCCAGGTGGTTCCATCGGTGCTGGTTTCTTCGTCGGGTCTGGAGGTGCTCTGGCTACCGGTGTTCGTTCTGCCACACCCCGCACATACTCGAATATCGCGCTGACTAGACATAGGGGCCCGGGTCTATTCTTCTCGATTTCTCGATCATTGGTATCATGATGTTCAACGTCGTCTACGCTCTTGGCGAACTCGCTGTTATGTATCCTGTGTCCGGTGGCTTCTACGTATACTCGACTCGGTTCATCGATCCTTCTTGGGGCTTCGCAATGGGATGGAACTACGTCTTCCAAGTAAGCCGCTTTACCTCTTCGACTGACCAAGTCTTCTTCAAGTGTCATGATGTGTCTAATACGGGTGACAGTGGGCTATCGTTCTACCTCTTGAGTTGACGGTTTGTGGTCTGACAATCAACTACTGGGAAGGGGCCAGAGACATCAGTCTCGCTGTGTGGATCACAATCTTCTGGGCTGCAATTACCTTCATCAACGTTTTTGGAACTCTGGGATATGCCGAGGAAGAATTCTGGTCGTCCCTTCTTAAGCTTTCGGCCATCGGTAAGCTTACACTCATCGTGACTTTTACCACGCACTCACACCTTCTGCAGTCATTTTCATGATTGTGGCTCTCGTACTCGTATGTGGCGGTGGCCCTGCCGGTGGTCGCTATGACGAGTACTGGGGGGCGCGATACTGGCACGACCCTGGCGCCTTCAAGAACGGCTTCAAAGGATTCTGTGCCGTATTCGTTACTGCTGCATTCTCTTTTGCCGGTACCGAGCTCGTTGGCTTGGCCGCTGCCGAATCCAGCAACCCCTTGAAATCCTTGCCAGGTGCCATCAAGCAGGTCTTCTGGCGTATCACCCTGTTTTACATCCTCGGCCTGTTCTTCGTTGGCCTCCTCATCAGCTCCAATGACGAGAATATTCTCGGTGCCGACAACCCTTACGCCGAAGGTACATCACCGTTCGTATTGGCCGCCAAGTACGCTGGTCTGAACGGATATGATCACTTTATGAATTCTATCATCTTGGTGTCAGTCCTCTCACTGGGAGTTTCGTGCGTCTATGGCGGCTCTCGTACTTTGACGGCTCTTGCGCAACAGGGCTATGCCCCCAAGATCTTCACCTACGTCGACAAGTCTGGCCGCCCTCTGCCTTCGGTTGCTGTCCACCTTGTCTGCGGCGCTCTTGCCTACATCAACTTGGACGCTAGTGGCGAGACGGTCTTTAATTGGCTTCTTGCCATGTCGGCGCTCGCTGCCCTGTTCACATGGGGATCTATCTGCCTGGCTCACATCAGATTCCGCAAGGCTTGGGCCTATCACGGGCACACTGTCGATGAGATCCCTTTCAAGGCTGCCTTTGGTGTTGCCGGATCCTGGGTCGGTTTGATTCTTTGCATTCTTGTGCTAATTGCCCAGGTAAGCTATATTCTTTCCATACACATCACGGCGCTTTCTTTCTGTATCCTGTCTGACCTCGAACGCAGCTCTTTGTTGCCATCGCACCCGCAGGACAGGGCAACGAGCTCAACGATGCCGCTGGATTCTTTGAGGCCATGGTCACTGTCCCTGTTATCATTGTCTTCTGGATCATTGGCTTCGCCTGGAAACGCACTGGTTGGCTCCGCACCCACCAGATGGACGTCGATACCGGACGCCGCGAGCTCGACTGGGAGGAGATGAACCGCTACAAGGCCGAAGTTGCTTCTTGGCCTACGTGGAAGCGCATGTACAACAGATTCTTCTAGGTCTGTGTAAGCGCCACATTCAAAGAAAAGCCAGTGTTTCATCCAGCGATCAAAGAGAAAACAACATGTCGCGGCTCAAGATACAGGCAGCAATCTAGGCGAAGTCTGATTTCAGTATTCTGTACTTGGATACCACACACAGCTTACCGTCTTTCCTAATCTGACTTTTAATCATCGTAAAGACCAAAAATTCTCATCTGCCCCCTGTTCTCGGCTTATGTTTGTGAGACTTTGATGAAACCCACCCCCTAAAATGCCATGGGCTTGGGAACACAAAAGGCATACTCCATCGTCGACCGCAAACGATGTTTTTGCGAACCGCTCATGATATTGCTTCTGTGAAAGATGCTTGTAAACGCTTAACCCGTCGAGATCTCCAACATCTTTGTGAACACCAAACCGGGGCAAAGTTGTAAGACAATTAACCCACCTGTCTGCCAGCAGCGTCCAAGGCTGGAAACACTTTGCGGCACGTATCGTAGAGGAGCCAGTTGTGAGGGTGTGTATATGGTATGTAGGAAGCGTGTACCTGGTAGTCAGCGTTCCATGTGGTCTTGGATCATATGCAAAAAGAAGCAGTCTAGAATGTTTCAAACATCCGCTGATTTGGGCTCCGACGTAACTACGAGCATTCTACAGACGATGCGGCGAATGACAAGCTTGGGTGTCTGGGTGCCATGTCTGAGCGCCTCGTCATTGCTCAAGACTCAAGAGGCCACCAAAAGTAGGCTGCCAATAGACTTCTGGTGACTGAAGCCGGTGGGTATGTGTTATTTCTTTGTGGAAGGCAGCAACAGAGTAGTTGTTACTCGGGTTTCTTGTCTTGACCAATAATCTCCCCTTCTCGCTGTGAGTCTTAAGTTTACGTGTCGAATAGCATGTATGTACCAGTAGTCGTTTTGGCGCAAAGAAAATAGCTCAAGATTCATCTTCTTCTCAGTACCCAAGAAGATAGTAATTGACAAAGGAGATTGGACGTTCAACAGCAACCGACATTCTCAATCCTAGCCTGCCTTTTTACTCATTCGAGAGACCGAAACCACGGAAAACTACATCCTTGCAACGTCTCAAGAAATCCAGGACATCCGCCTCGGTGTGCCAAGCGTCGTTATACGCAGCGCTGAGACATAATTCGCCCCTGAAAGTACCCAAGAACAGACCCAGCCCGTTACCCAGCTCCTCGCCAGTCACCCACGGATCGTATGCCTCGATGGCGCCCGTCTTGGGGGCGATGATGCCGTCGACGCGGCCCATGCTGGAGATTGATACCGAAGGATGTTCCTTGGGCGGCGGCACGGGTGGCGGGGTGGAGGACAGAGGGACCGTGGGGTTTCCGGCGGCCCAGATGGTCGAGGCGAGGGCGTAGTGCTCCTTGTCGTCTTTGACGCTGTGGTAGAAGTCTTTCATTATCTGGACGACGGGGAGAAATTCGTCCTTGTCGGAGGTGGGCTTGGCGTTGGCGTTATCGTCGTCCAAGGCTGGGAGGTCCATGTCGACGACGAGACTTTGTCCTGGGACGGAGTGGTACAGCGCAGCGGGGTGTTTGGAAGAGTTGTACGGCGGCTGGCAGCTTGCGCGCTCGTTGCGGAGGATGTAGTTCACGTACCGCATGCGTTTCGTCTGGGGCGCGCGAGCGGACGGTGGCTGGATGTCGCGGACCACGAGGGCGATGGCGGCGTGGAAGGCGTGCGTCACGGTCGCGCCGGCGGATTTACACGCTGTGGTGAGGCGGGCTGTCTGGTCTTGCGTGAGAGTGATTGCGACACGTTGGTGGCGGCCGGGGAGGAGTTGGCCGCGGCGGTAGGGCATGTCGATGAGTTGGGTGCCGGGTGGGGGGGTCATTGCTGCGGTCTTTTGGGCGGCCATTGTGGCTAGGCGTGCGGTTTGGGATTCAGTGAGGGTTGAGGGGACGTTGGCTGCGATGCGGTAGGGTGGGCTGAGGTTTGCGGCCTCGGAGCCGGTGAAGCTTAGGGGACTGGGGGTGTTTGGCGAGGAGAATGCTTTGGAGGCATGGGTTATAAGGTTGTTCAGGAGGGTGAGGGTGCCGATGCCGTCTATTATGTCGTGGGGGGAGCGGAGGACGAGGTCGCGGCGGATGATGTTGGTGGTGGTGGATGGTGGACTGAGGATGAAGAGGGTTGGGATCTTTGGAGCTGGTGGTTGTGAGTTGGCCCATTCCACGCCAGTTTGACCGGTGGAGATTGGGACGAGAGTCTTGTTGATCCAGGACTGCTGTTCGGCTTCGTCTTTGAGTTGGTGGTACGTCTTTAGCCATTTGCCTGTGGTGAGGTCCCGAGTGACTTGGGAGGCGATGGTGGGATGA